ACACACACACACACACACACACACACACCCCCCTCTGCCTTACAACCTCTAGCTAAAACCCCATAAAAGTCTTTCCAAGTGCTATTCATCTTTCTTCATTAACTCCACTTCTTCACGTGGCCCTCCTCAACCCATGCCACTTGGGTTTTAGCCCCACTTCACCACGATCTTTCAAAATGCCATCAATTATTGGGGTCAACATCCATTAGGGAAAAGCCCTCAGAATAAGGTTTGTGGAGGAAGCACTGAGGCTGGCTCTTGCTCTGTGGGTTTTATATGAGTTGTACTACTGGGATAAACTTCGGACTACAAAAGTTATTTCATTTTTTATGCTGGATTAAATTAGTTGTTAATTTTTAAAAAAAACATTTTAAGAAACTTTTTTAAACTAGACAATAATATTACCCAAATTAATGTTTTCAGTCCAGACCCCTCTCTTAAGTGCTAGGTCCATATAGGCAATTACAAAATTCACATTACTTATTAGCTATACAATAATTATCTTAAACATGCTGTCAACTAGTCAATTCCAAATCAGAGCAACTCATTCAGTCAGAATAGGGCTTCATAGGCAGATATCTTTACGGGAGAAGATTCCCCAAGCAGCTGGTAGGTTCAAACCAGCAACCTTTCAGTTTGTAGCTGAGTGCTTAATCACTGTACAACCAGGTTCCTACGTCTTAAAACAGTTTACCCAAAAAGGACTGTTAAAGACAGGCGAGTTGCATTTGCTTTCTAGTGTCTATAGCCCTTTGTAAAAACCTGTACATTCATTCCGGGAACTTCACCCCACCCCCTCCTGCTATTCTGTAATTGCCTTGAAATCTGCCGTCCATTAGCATAGAGTAGTTGCTAATCTTCCCTCCCAATAAGACAATGTTTTCTCCAGATTAACTTCCTGAAAACCTGATCTGAAGTGAAACTTGAATCAGTTCCTGGAATATGCGCAGAAACATTACTCATGACTGAGAGCTAGCCTTCCCAAACATGAAGTTATCAATCATAGAGAGAAAGGAATCAGAAGACATTGCTACACAGCGCATGCACAGCAGGCCGTGAGTGGAGGCGTGCATCCCAGAATCCTCCACTCCAGCTCCATCTTGAGATGCTGAATGTGTGCACAACACCAGAAGTCTAGAGAAAAAGACTCCTTAAGATCCAAATCAGGGGATAAAGTGAATCCCACCACCTGATTAGCCACCTAGTCCCCACCACCACATTTTGCCTTACAAAAACCCAATCCATCCCAACTTCGTGGTCTTTTGTCACATGGAGAGCCCAGTGACTTTGCAGATCAGCTGGCCATCATCTCTCCAAATTAAGGTGACTCTGGCTTTCCTCTTTACTTCAGCCTAAGGTTCCTGGTTGAATTCTTTCTCTAAAGAAGGCAAGAATCTGGATTGTCATATCCTAAAAGAGGACCCCTCCTCAAAGCTTCTCCTACTTTCCTTTTTAATCCAGCCTGAGACTCGCAGTTGAATTATTTCTCTAGAGAAGGCAAGAACCTAGATTGTGATATCCTAAAAGAGGACCCCTCCTCAAAGCTGTTCAACAAACCGCACATTCATTAACCAAGGTGTAGAGCCCAGATCCCAGCAGGCACCCTTGGTTTCTACTTTACCTCACAGCTACCTTCCCCACCTCAATCCCCCAACCACCCCGACAGCACCAGCCGACCGCTACCGCCGTCGTCTGCAATACCACTGCCCTCATCGCTGCAACAGCTCTCTGCTTCTACTTTTTGCCTCCTTCATTTTGATCAAACCTTCACACAGTCCCCAAAGAGAAATGAAAATTTAATCAGATCATGTTCAAAACTATCCTGCAGTGTTCATCATCTATAGAATATAATCCAAATTCTTTGCCACAGCTTAAAGACCTCTATACCACCTGGCCCTCTCTTTCTATTCAGTCCTTTCTGCTACTACGGTCACCTCACCATCACGCCTGCCAAGCCACAGAGATGTTCTTACTGTCCGTGCAGCTCAGGAAGCTCACTGTTGCACGAGGTCTTAGTCGGTGCTGTTCCTTCCACCTGGAGCACATCTCACCCACATCTTAAGAGCTCACCCATTCCCTCACCCCATCCAGATATCATCTCCTCAAAGGGCACCTTCCCTTGACCACTCTCTAAAATAAGCCACACAATTTATACATACACACTCACACTCTGTATAATGTCCCTTTGCTCTTTTCCTTTTTGTCATAAACCTTATCACTGATATTAAAGTATATTCTATTATTATCATATTATTTTATCTGCTCCTTACATTTTCAAACCCCATGAGAGTAAAGGCTTTATCTCATTCCTTGCTTAAAAACAGTGCTTGGCATGTAGGCAGCATTTAATCAATTCTTTACTGAACAGGCCAATTCAGGCTACCCACTTCATATCCAAATTATTCTTCTAAGTTGGACATGAACTCTTCCATAGTAATAAAAGTTGTCTTTAAGTTGCTTAAGATGTTTTCTTCAAAACCAAGAAATAGAGAAGTTTTAAGGCAAAAAAAAAAAAAGATATATTTGGAAATATCAGCTTGTTTGGAATACAGGGATCCACCTGAAAAATAACCTTTTTAATTAAACATTTTTGTATTTTAGCTGTCTAATTAGTGCAACCTTTTTTATAATTACTATTTCAGTATATAGCTTATCACGTCAAAGTCCACCTGCAGAGGTCTGGGATGCTAATTTTATTCAAAACTTAATTTTCAAATACATCATTTGACCATGCCACTGAGCAGTTCTCATCACACAAGTGTTCAGCAATGTCAAGGGCTATGACTAAATTTATCTGGAAATTTTCTCTGTGATGTCCTACTGGAGGGATGCTTGTTGATGAGAGCAGGGATGATTGCTCCAGAGTCTTCTGCTTTGTGAAGCTTTGAATTCAGTGTTGCCATCAAATGCCCAGGTTGCACATAAACATCATGGCTTACTCTCATGGGTTATAGAACCCTCACTCAGAAGGTGAGACCTGTAATCCAAGTCCAACTCAGCATAAGTACCTGCACAAGCCTGACGTGGATTACACTTTCCTTCAATACACACTTACTGCACACCTTGCTGTGCCAACCCTATGCTTAGCTGGGAGTTTTTCTATGGCGGGTCTTTTTCTAAGATGCAGGTCAGTTCTGCAGGAACAGAGAGTATTGTGGGGAAAGCAGACAAAGATAAAGGACATACGACAAAGTAGGAGTAGATACAAGGCTTGATGGAAACCCAGGAGTAGGCAGGACTAACTCTGTCTGAGAAGATAGAAGAGAATAAAAGAGCAATGCACGCCCATATAATCATATTTATCTCTCTAATATTCTCAGCAACTGAAGCTTGGTGCTAGAGAACTATGGGGGGGGGACGGACGGGACAGGACGTGAAGGTCCACATCCAGGGCTATGATGGGCTTATTCAAGCAGTTTTCACCTCCCATCTTATTCTCTGTGTTTCTTTAAGAACATCTGACCCGGAAAGAAATTTGAATCGCTACAAAGACTATCCTTGAGAGTATCTAACAAGAGAAGCTTCTACGTTGGGGTTTCTCATTCTTGGCACTGCTGACATCTTAAGACAGAATAGCTGTTGGGAGGAGCAGCCCTGTGCACTGATGTGTGTTCAACAGCCAACATTCCTACCCATTGAAAGGTAGACATGATGATCAAAAATGTCACTGCTGAATGTCCCACGGTCAAGAACCACCATTTTTATGATGAGGAGCCTCCATTTCTCTGTGGTCTCACTGCTTTCCTGTTGTTGTTATGTAACGTCAAGTCGCCTGTGACTCAAAGCGACCCTAACAGCCCAAACCCTGCTCTAACCTGTGCCAATCTTACTGTCTCTGATACACCTACTCCTATTACCCCAGTCACTGAATCAATCCCTCCCAAACATGTTGACCCTCTCTGATCCCGCCTTGCAACATGTCCAAAGTATGTCAGATGAAGATTCAGAATCCTGTCTCCAAGAAACAGCCTGGCTTCCCCCCTCTCCAAGACGTTCTCCTAGCATATTCAATACTCTTCTCCAGCACCACAGCCTAAAGGCATCGACTCCCCTTCTGTCCTCCCTAGTCATTGTCCAACTCTCTGATGCATAGCAAGTAATTGCAATGACCATAGCCTGTATCAGATACACTTCAGTCTCCAGACTGATATCGTTGCTCTTCAGTACTTTGGAGAGTTCTCTGACAGCAGACTTTCCCAATGCAATTTGTCTTTTCATTTCCTGTTAGGAACAATAATCACCAGTGGATTATGTGAAAATATAGATAAGACTGAGAGATTCCAGAATACTGTTCATGCAGAACCCATACATGAACCAAGAAGCAGTGCTCCGAGCAGACAATGGTATACTGCATGGTCTAAAAACAGGAGAGGTGGTCATCAGGGCTGCATCTTTTCACCAGACTTATTCAGTACATACACTGAGCAAATAAGAACATGGCATCAGGATTGGAGGACGACTTCCCAACAACCCACATTATGCAGATGACACAATCTTGCTTGCAGAAAGTGACAAAGACTTGAAGACCTGGCACAGAAGATCAAAGACTACTACCTTCAGTATGGATTCCACTCCAACATCAAGAAAACAAAAATCCTCACAACTCAACCAAAAGGAAATGTCATA